CAAGCCAAATTCATCCCAAATTCTCTGGAACTGTTTAAATTGCACCTCTGAACCATTACAGATCTCGCAAACCAAAGCCCTGATTCTCCAAATAGATATAACAGCATATAAACTGATGCCCAGGCAGTGCCTGACTGATACTCCTACCAATTTGAGTGGTTCAAGGGCTTTCAGGATATATCTGCGAAATTGGCTTCTGGATGATTTTTTTCAATAATACTTGCTTTTAAAATAATATAACAATATATCTATATAAATATATATCTCAGTATGGTGCACTGAAGATTTTGTTACCAGAAACACTTATCTGGGGCAGCACATACTCACAGACAAACAGCTGCTTTTAACTAGGAGTTTTCAAGCTCAAGGGAAGCTGTCACTCATTTTTTGTGAGTAGCAGGGGAGCCAAAATAAGGATGAATGGGGAAGAAATGGAACAATGGCCAATTTATCTGTCTGTCAGAGAAAACTGCCACAGCACTGGATACACTGACATCTTGTCAGGATTCCTGCACTTACAAGTTCATCTGCAATCTTCAAAGTCAACTTTCATCAAACTGGAAGAGTTCTGCCAAAATCTGAATGAAACCCATTCTACATCAGCCAGCAAAGTTTACAATGAGTTCATCTTATTATGAGGGGCATAAATGGAGTGAAAAGGCAGAAGAGGAGGAAGGTTAAGTTGCTTGAATAAAAAACAAACTCTATAGCCATCTGTGCCAAGGCTGTTGGTGGAGAACTGAGAGGAGGGACAGATCTTTGCTTTTCCCAGCTTTTCTCTTGGGCTTTAGCAGGTACCTGGGGGACCAGTGTGCTTGTCACCAGTGCCAGTGATGGCATTCACATGTTCACCCAAGACTTGGCATATACAGGCCAACAGATCTCAGTGGTTGTGCCAAGTGGGACATGTTGCCTCCAGGGCACTGACAGTTTCAAGGTGAGCAGTTCAAAGGTTATTTTATCTGGGGCTGTGCTGCTAACAGCTCGTTAGCTGACAACCTCTTTTTCTTCATTACAAGGTCCAGAGTTGAATGGGTTCCCCACCAAAAATGGACTTTGCATCCTAAAATGTGCCTAGAGGTGATGCTGCCAGTCTTTTCACTCTTTTTAGCCTATAATCTGCAGGCAGAGAGAGCATTTCTCAAGGATGTGTTCACCCAGGAACTCCAAATAATAAGATAACAAGGTGGAGAATAAAACAGGGAATTTGACAGCACCTGGGATGTTTCCCCAAAGTAAAGAGCAGCTTCTGCGCTCAAAATCCAGGAATTTAACAAAGATCTGAAGATACTCAAAAAGAAGTCACAATGCACAAGGTACATTAGAAAAGCACAGGTTTTGCCAAGCAGTCACATACAATTCAGTAAGTCCGTGTGACTGAGAGCACACACTCATGACAGTTTTTAGTGACTCCCTTTTTGCCTGCATGTCTGACCCTTAACACTTGAAATCTCTGCTTACCAAGAAAATGGCAAAACAATCTGTTCCCAAGAGTTGTATTCAGGTAAGAAATTTCCTCCAAAACATCTGAAAAGTGGAAGAGACAGAATGATTGCCATGACTGAAACCAGGTACAATCAGAATGTTCCATTCCTGTGTTGAAGTCAAGTTAAATGATCAAAATGGAAAGATGTTGTACCAGCAATTAAAAACCTCAAAATGTTTAATGCAGAGAAACTAAGTAGTTACTACACTACTAATTACCTGTATCACTAACCTGTTTCCTTTTTCTCCTTCAGGGAACATGCAAAACCACAAAAGAGGTACTCAGCTTTTTTTTAAATCTACTACTACTCTTTTAATTATCTCCTTTGCATATCATTTAAGGTGAGTCATTTTGCAAACATTTTTAGATGTGCAGATAAAAAAAGATAAAAGCCTAGTAAGAGTTTCAAGCAGCTCAGCCATTTTCTTCCCACTAACACCATCCTCAGGAACCTCCGTACATTCAAAAAGCGGTCTCTTACTGTCTTGAATGTTCTGTTTAAAACCAAAAAACAGCTATTCCTGTCTGTCCCACAAATCATTCTTGTACTTGGATTTTTCAGTCGTTACAAACTATATTCAAGTCTGAATTAGCCGTACACCAAAGAAAAAGGCCCACTGGAGATGCAGCTCTGGGACACTGTCACATCTCCAGGAGCTTTCTACAGCTACGTGGTAGTTTCTGTTATTCCAGCAGACCTGCCAGATTTTGGGAAGTCAGCCTCTTTTACTTGTCTTGCCTCACACTAAGAAAGCTGTTCGGGACCCCCTCTACAGATCAAGCAGTAAGATGGAGAGTCTAAAACTCTCCAATAAAACAAGTAAAACCCGGCAGCCAGCCAACCTAAAGGCTGGTGATGGATTTAAACAAAGGAAAGGGTAAAACGCTGGGGTTTGACAGTAACATAAGACATGTTTTTGTTACAGCAAAGACTCCACACAATCACACGTGCCCTGAAAATGAAAATGGTTTGTCATTCCTTCGAGCAAAATGCTGCAAATAATCTAAACAGAACAAAAATAATCCAAATAAAATCTCTTATTGTTTCAAAACCTGAGATGGATGGGATTTAAGGGGGGGTGCCTCATTTCAATAAGAGAGAAATACACAGACTAAGATAAAATGCTTGCTTGTTGATACAAGCCTGCATGTTTATTGGGATAATTGATATGTTTGTATGTTTATTGGGATAATTAAAGTCTGCTTTGAATGTAACCCGCAGTTGAAAAAGTCTGGTATCACCCTATTCCTGATAGGGCAAGGTGTCAAACACTTACTGCTAATGGTGATGGCCTAATTAGATTGTTAGATTTTTCTCTGGCCAAGTGAACTGCACCAGCAGCATGAAAAATAGAATCAAAGGAATGCCAAGCCAATGGGATGTTTTAAAATACACATAACACAACAAGTAAAAGCTCGTTTCTATACCTCAGTCTGAGTGTAGTTTACTCTTTATAACAAAAAGAACTGAAAGTGGCTCTTGATTTTTGTTCTGTTGCCATAGGAGTCCAAGCTTTGGAAGGTTTTTATCAGTAGAGCACAAAATACTTTTGCGAAATATGGTGTTCAAATATATACTTTGCAAATTAAAAAAAAAATAGGAGTACCTTATTATAAACAACCAGGTGGAGTTTGAATTTCTGCATCTGCAAAGACAAGGCAATTTCCATCTTTTTCAAGACAAGAATGATGAATGCTCTATAAATAAATTTTAAAGCACCAGACACCTGTAAAGTAATAGCTGAACAGGACACAAGTTACTCTTCATTTCTAGTTTCTTTAACACCTTTCTGCTGAAGAAAATCAGTTTGCTTCTCATCCAACTATTAGTGAAATTTCATGTGCTATGATCGAAAACTACACAGAAAATTTTACAGAACAATGAATGTTTTCATTCAATGACAAACTATGAGTGACTGGAATGAATTTGTTACAGGGCACTTCTGCGTCTTGGCAAGTAGAAGCTATGGTCGGGTTAAAGTGTACAGTCTGACTAACCTCAACAGCTGTACAGCTGAAGCTGCCAGATTCAGAAACACTCTTGCTCCACACCCTCTTTTCTTGGTGTTTAAATACCGATTAAACAACTTCCTGCCCCTGGGGAAGGCTCTCTGACTGCACTCGGGACCCAGTGCTTTCTTGTACTCCAGTACAGCACGATCAGCGCAGAAACCATAGCATCCACTCAGACAAATCCCGGCAGTATTGGAGGGGTTAGGAGGGTCAGGAACCAGACTAAAGTTTAGGAGGAACTGCCTCCTGAGCTAAGACGTTCTGTTTATCAGGACTATCAGCTCTGTCCTGCCCTTGTGTGCTGAGCAGACACCACGTGCCTTGTCTCGCACTGCGCCCGAGATCTGCGGTATCGGTCAGCTGATGGTTGCTGGGGTTAATTAGACCATCAGGGATGATGGTTGTTTACAACAGGATTTACTCTTACGAAAACCATTAGCCCTTTAGGGTAAAAGCTGTCCTATTGTTATGCACAGTGTGTCTGGCACAACAGGTCATCAGCCTGGAGCCAGGAAAATAATCCTCTCTTTTACTATCAGGAGAGGCACAGTAAAGCAAAACCCACCGTGGTGAAAAACCGTAGAAACACTTAGAAGAGGAAAGGTGACTGCGAAGTCTACAGAGATTTTGGGTTTACTTCTTGGTGGGGGAAACTGGTATAGACCTGGAACCCAGGGCCTGGAACCCAGATCTGAAAGAAAAATTGTGACTGGAAATGTGGGAGTCAGTTTGCAAGAGAAAGTAATCTACTGAGTTGTTTTACTTAATAGGAGTCATCTTTTACAAGTTATTTCCTTCTACTGTGCCAAAGCACTTCCTTCAAGACAGAATTTTCAAGAGGGGTAAAACCTATGGGGAAAGTATAGAGAGATTTCTACTGCCAAACAAACAGTCCTTTCAGTCATAATCTCTGTTTCCTCCTCCGGAAATCCTTTTTGCCAGTTTTCCTATTGAACCAGATTTTGTCCTGTCTAACCTCCACTCCAGGACCTTCCAACACCAACATGCAGCATCAGATTAGCAAAACAGCTCATTCTACTCATGCCTGAATGGAAAAGGGATGGAAAAGTCACCCAGGGCTCTCCACGGGGAAGACAAGTCTGTTATAAATGCAGGCCTGACAGCTAAGACACATGTAATCACCTCAGCTTCTCTTTAAACACAAAGTCACTCTAGCTTATTTATTCAGCATGTTTTCCTTTGCAGAAATACCTAGCAAGACATGGAAGCCCCACCATGGGACTTTTGCAAGAGTAACCAGTAAAATAACAATTTAAAAAACACTACAGCTTTTCCTGACTGAGCTGGTAGTGAATGAATGCCTTGCAGTAAACCAACTGGTACGAAAGGGAAGGAATACTCACATTTGTACAGTGGTCAGAAAGTGTCCTGGGAAATTAGATGAACTGAAGTTATTTCTTTGCTAAGTCAAAGCCACTGTTCCAGCCACCGTTTCCAGAAACTATTAGCAATGAAATTTAAGGGAAAAAAAAAAAGAACCTTGAGCGTTCATGTCAAATGATACAACTTTAATTTCTAAAAGGTGGTAAGTACTAAGAAACTGGTCTAGTTGACAGGCAATTAATCCTCCTTGCATAGTACATTTATCTCCATGGGATATCAAGATTTACAACACTTCAGGAAAACTGGCACCTAAGTGAGCAAGCAGCCTCAGTCCTATACAAAAGTTACAGACAGCCTAATTGTTTCCAAGTTGTACTCTCTAATAGATCCAGAGAATAGTCTCTGCTTTGTCCCCATCTATCCCCCTTTACAGTATTCTCTCACTGCACTTTACAGTTGGCCTCTGTGTAGAAAACATAAAAGGCTGCAACCCACACTAATAGAGTAATTCACAATTAATTAGCTTCGTTCTATTCAAATTTGGCCTTTTTGAGGTCAAATACCTCAAAGTATGGAGTAATGGACTTTATTTTTTCATGTAGAATGTGCACCTCATAATGCTTGTGATTACTTGATAAAGACTTTGTCCAGAGAATGTTTATTCCTTCCCTTGAGAAGGAAGAAAAATGAGGCTTCAGGTTCAGAAGTGCTCTCAACACTCATCTAAAATAAGCACTGAATCTTACAGGAAGTCAAAAAATTTTAACTTGCTTAACCAGCTTACTAACAAGACAAGAGTAGAAACACTTTTCATATAAAAAAAAGTTACATTTTGCTGTATGTGTTAAGACATATCTACAACAGATTTTTTTTTCCTTTACAGAACGATCGTTGGAGAGGAACATTGTACTTACATCATCATTAATTAATCCCTTTTTTCTAGTAACTTGTGTCCTGATTTTCAAAAGCACTGATTATCAGCATATCCTAGGTACTGAATGGTAGCAGCAGGCACTCAGAACTGTTGAAAATAGACTATTAGTACTTGTACTTATGCTGCAAATGCACCATTTGAAGATATTTCTCTTGAGAACGGGTAACTTTACTTTTTAGTCAAAATTATTCTTGTAGTGTTTTAGAATGTTTGAAGTAACTATTACCACTAATTACTTAACACACTGTAGTGGATTATGATCAAAATTAAAACGTCAAAAAATTAAGTTTATGATAAATAAACTTTGGAAAAATTTATACAAGGCCGTAAATAAATAATTTGAATTTCAGTCTCATTAGGAAGTAAACCAATACATCACACGACAATATCATCCTATCTAAACAATACAATCTTGCTATATTTTATTGCATAATAATCTGAGAGTAACATCTTAAGTAAAATATGTAAAGAAACAAAACCATTAGATTTACTTTCTTTAATATTGAACAACCAGTTTGTCCTTTGTACATAATCCAATTTAAAGATAATATAATTAGCATTTCCAGCATTAACAGTCTGTATTTACAATGAATGAGATGGGGTAGATAATCTAAAGAGTATTCAAATCTGTATGAAACAAATCAAAATACGAAGATTTACAGTAGTAGGCTCAAAATCCAAGACTTTTCCATTGATGGAATGCAATTTAAAAGGCTTTATTGCCTTTATTATTTGTAAGGGTTCCTGAAATGGTGATTTAAACATCTGAAATCTTCAGTAATGCCTTCATTATTTGTACATGACATTAAAAATTAATTCCAATACTTCTATTTTTCACTTGCTTGTAGACCAGTCTGAAATCTGATGAAAGGATAACAAGGAAGTTTACTATATAATCCTAATTCCATATTCCTGAACACAACGGTTGGAAGTAGATGATGTCAGTCCATTCCAAGGGTTATGTACACAAAACTTAGAAAATGTTCTTCGCTCTTGCATAAAATGTGTACACAGTATCAGTGAGTGGGTGACTTCAAAGTTTTTATGGTTTGCTGCTGGCATGGACCTTTGCTGATTGAAAATAAAATACCTTTCCCTCTATTGTTCTGGTAGCAGTTTTAGAAGTTAATCATCAATCCCTGGTGTTTCACCCTGCTGTATTCTGGAGGCTATTCTAATGGCTTCTTCCAGAGACTGTTGTTCTCCAAGCTGAAACAAATGCATTGAAACACAGGTAAATCCAAAGTGTTATACATGGATAATAAATGCATTTAAGAAAAGATATGAAAACAAAGATCAGATATCAAACAATATTTTAGCCCAAATAAGCATGATCAGTATTGTCACACCTCTCCTGGGTAATATATACCAGCAGCTATCTAATCAGCATGACAATTAAGATAGCTGCTGATAGGAGATTAAACTGAGTTCCTAAGTATCTACCGAATACATTTGCTTCAAAGAACTGCTCCAAGGTAAACACACTTCAGGAGACACAAAGTAGGTGATAATTCAGCTTGGCAGATATTACAAAGCTAAAACAAGGCTTTCTGAAGTCATAGTGGCTGCTGGATTACATTTTAACACTGGTAAAGCAAACAAACATCTTCATTTTTCCGTTACACGAAGTCAGCTCTGTGGAACACCATATAACAGTAATTTATAGAAAAAATGTATTTACTGCAGAATCCTGACTGTATAAAAAACCCTGTTGTGATGACACTGTTTGATTCCACAGTAGTTTAGAGAGGAAATTATCTTGTAGTTGCAACTAGAAAGCCATCAATGTATCCGGCACTACCAGAAGCAACATAACCTGAATAAAGACTGGAGACATGATTTGGGGAAAGAATCCATGGAATTTCATAATATGGATGCTATGCGTGTACAACCAGCGATTGGTACACAGAAGCCAATCTCAACCTCACAAAAAACCATACAGCTGGCCTAGGGTAAAAACACAAGAAAGTGTGAAAGATAAAATCAGATTACTTGACCTAATGGGACAGTTGTAAATATACTTTGTTATTCTTACAGTCATTGCATATCACATTCTGGATCCACTCAAATCAAGAAGACCTCTGTTACCACCTCGTTAGGACTTCAACCTGACCATCAGGCTATACTAGTATTTAGAAATAAAACGGGTTAACTTATTAGAATCAAAGTACAAAAGAAATCTATCAAAACCTCAGGAATAATTAATTATATTTTAATTTTGAATTCTCTCTCTTCTATTTTTATTAAATATTTTACATTTAATAAATGTAAAGATACTTCACCAAATGCTCCACTGTTGGTAAAAAAGGAGGGGCATGAGCAGAGAGTGCCTATATTTTCCTTTCATTCAAAGGGAACACTGCTGAGGGTGCAACTTTGCTTTCCTGCAAACAATTGCCTTCTGATATGGTTTCTCTTACAAGCAGTTTTGTTACTGCCAACTTAGCTCAAAAGAGAAGAGTTCAGAATTCAGAGCTTCTCAATTTTCATTGCTCTTCAACCAGCATCTGACTTGCTATTTTGCATTTAACAAAGGAGGAAATAACAGTCTCTCCTTTCTGCTTGAAGATAATAACACTTTTCCTTTCAATTTAAGCTCTTAAGAGCTCTTTCATACCTAGAAACTACCTTTTCATTACAGTGTTTGAACAATGTGAGGAACCATTTACAGAGACTACTGCTGGTACTGTGCTAGTTTGGCATATACAAAGAAGGTCCCTATTTCCAGAGATTTCTGATTGTTAATCTTTCTATATAACTGTTTGCACCTTTTCACTGTTAGCATTTCAGGGTTCAAATAACAAATTCACTAATTTTATAACTTCATAGCAATTTACCCTTGAGAGCTTGGGTTTATACATGTCAGCTCTACTTGTAAAGCTGAAGGATGAATGAAAGCACATTTCCACTGAAACTCTGTGACTCCATGAACAATTCAGTCGACCTGAAATTTGACTCGCCCCCAACCTCCCCCTTTTATGGAAATGCTACAAGTAGATTTGGAAAATCAGGTGCTGCTTATTCCTCTTCCTAACCCTATATATTACTTAAAATATGAGACCACGTGGTTATGGTCAATTTTTTTGCAGGGATGCCAAGCTTATTTGAATCATTTTGTTACATGACTAGGAACTTTTAACTCAAGTGGAAGCACTCCAAAAAACATTTATCCCCATCTTACCTGTACTGCAATTTGTGTCCCATTGGACGTAGCCAACAATGTAACAGGTCTAGTTTCTGTAGTCACTAAATGGTGCCCGTGTTGCTGATGTCCCATTTCTGAGGAGGCACTGTGAAATGCTGCTAAGTCTTGAGCCACAATGGCAACCTTCAAAACCAAAAGAAGAGATTCAGCTGGGTGACAGATCTGGTCCTGTACTGACCTCATACAACCACTGTCTTCACAGTTAAATTCAATCCTGTGACTGTTCAACTTTTTAAGAAAGGTTGCCATAATTGTGTTCTCAAAGTTATCTACTAGCTCTTAAAATGTAAATACCCTCAGGACTGCAGAAATTCAATAAGTGTGCCTATAAGCCTGTGATTACTTACAGAGGCAGAATAAGTATCTTCATTTTCATCTGGTGCACTTTTAGAGCAGTAGAATGCATTTTAACTTGAAGATTATATCTTTATATTTCTACTATAAAGTTAGCTATATTATAAGCATATTTAAAACAAATCCATAGATATATACTTACACAAATTTCCTATCTGCCAAATAAGTCACAGTCCCATAGTATTAAGCAATAAAATTATATAGTTCATACTGTATTCTATTCTTAGCTCTGCCACTCACCTAAATGAATTATTAGACTGGTACCTCAGAACTTTGTCTTGGCAGAATACATGAACATTCTGCCATATACTGATGTATAGCACTGGAGTAGAACACACCAGACACTTAGGAGGGGAATGCTATAGCCAGGTGCTGAAAACTGCTTTACTAAGATAAACCTACACAAACACCAGAACTGTGATGGCTTAGATGCCCATTTTATACCAGTTCATAAAGAAACATGACCCATGTGTGCAGGATGATCTCTTACCTGCTGTCCTTCGGTGCCCTCCGCAGTAACCATCGCCACGGAATGCGTTCCTGCAGAAGAGATGACGGCGTCATGGGCAGGGACGGTGATGGTGGTGCCATCTTGTGTCACCATCGTGATAGTATTGCCGATGGCCTGCATGTCTGCCTGGGATATGTTGACCTGAAACACAAAATCATTCATGAAGTAAAAATAGAAGGTTTGGTTGCTGCTCAAGTCATACTTGTGTCTTAAGGTTTTGGCAAAATAGCGTGTGTTTTTAAGTAAGGTTTAAACAAAAAGATGACATTCTTAACAACATTTATCAAAAATTCCTGCCAGTTAGTTCAGCAGGAATACTCCTGATAGTTCAGTTTCTTTATTTGAAACAGTGTGTAGCAACCCAGAAAAAAAAGTCAACTTGTTCACAATAGCAGAGAAAACCATTTTAAGCCATGATCTCAAGTAAACTGGCCAAAAGATCCAGCAGCCGTTATTCCACTTCCTGACCAGTGCGCTCATTCATTCCTCCGGAATCACCGTCACTCTTTGGCCAAGTCCCCATCTGTGACAAAGAGCCCTTGTCTTTGTCTTCATTGGGATCTGATAGTTCATGACCTTTCAGACACACTTATCTGTTTACAGAAATAAAAATCTGACTCCCAGTAGTAAAAAAGAGTTTGCATACTTAATCCCAGAGTCTACAACTCCATGTTAATCAGATCATATCCCAAATAACAGCATGACAGATTATCTATGCACAGTGGACAATGGGATTTAAGGCAGTACCACCTGACATACTTTGACCTTAATGGAAATACTAAAGAGGCCTATGAAGGCTAAGAATTTAAACCAAAAATAAATCCATAAAAATTAATGATCTAAATTACTGATGTCTCCAGTATAAATGCATTAGGGCATCAGACACATGATTTTATGTCTGTTTTACAAGGAAATAAATCCCAGAACTGAAGTCAAGCTGAAGGATAATTTAAATAAATGTAGGAACTCTCTGTCAAGGCTTCATTTTAGAAGGTAAAAATGCCAGTTACTCAGTACTGCTACAATGTCCAGAGCTGGCAGTGTAACAGCCCCCTTGAAGATTTCATTTTCAGTTTGAATTCAGAATATATCTTTCATATGCTACTGATATTTAAGCTGCCCTTCCAGCTGAGATATAAACTTTTCCTCACAAGCCTTCAGTATATTGCTACAGTGAATCAAGAGAGTTTTGCTGAAGTCTCTTCCCAATGAAATTTCACACAAAATCCTTAGAAAAAAATATCCACGGGAATCCTTACAATAATATACCCGTGGAGGAGGTAACAAAGCATTCCTTATCCTCTGGCTTATGTTAGGAATGGTAAGAACTGCACACTACCAAACTCCTTGTAAAGCAGGCACCTGGACTGGAAAGACTTCCCAAGCCTTCAGCCCCCGCAAGTGTGTACAGACAACAGTGAAGATGACCACAATCTATTAACAGCACAATCAGGAAATCCTGAGAAACCTCAGAAACTAGGCTGTGTACATGACAATTGTTAAAACAGCTCATTTAAGAGTGACAAGGATATCAAGGATAGACAAACCCCCTATCTTTGTGTACTAAGTTTCACGTCAGTATACGTGGTTTCATTTAGGTATCCCACAGGAGGCACAACCCTAAATATATCCTGATGCAGCTCCAAAGAAGCTTCTTTCCTTAAGAAACCCACGCACATATTTATTGAGAATCTGCAAACACGCGCCTTAATTGTCAGTTTATTTTTGTCAGCCCTCAAACATTGTGGTTACTTACATGCTGGGTTCCATCCTGGGATATTAGTGCCACTTGTTGGCCTAATCCTGACTGAGTAACTGTAGCAACCTGTGCAGAAATTACATCTTCTCCCTCTACCCCTGTCACATAGGTTATCTGGGAACCTTTGAGAACATCTTCACCTTGACCTATTTGAGACAAAGAAGGCAAGAGGATAGTTTACATACTCTAAACGCTGCCAGGAAAGCAAATAAGGATTAAGACCCGGCCTGGTTTGAAGCTTTTAAATGCTCAAATGGAAAAATGTAGTGGAAAGATGAGTAAAATAAAAGATACCAAAAACTGTCCAGAAAGTCTGTTATTTTGGGAACACGGGATATAATCTTCTAGCAATGAGTTTTTACACACACAAATACTACATACGAAGAAACTATACATTTAGCTTATAAGCAAATACTAAAATGGTGGCAAACATTCCTAATTTAATTATCATTAAATGTTAACTTCTCCACACAAGGGGCTTCATGCAAACACAACTGGAAGCTTTTTAAAAAAGTTATTAATTAACAGACATACAAAAGAACACAGAGACACCTTTGTGTGGAGATTTAAGTAAGTTCATTACCTTAAGAAATGTTTAACTTCAGCAAATGAATCTTATCATTCCTTTAAGAGAAGGAATTAGGCTATAGCAAATCTTCTTGAGGCATTCAGTGCAGTTTCCCACCAGCATGTAGCAAAACAACTTTTCTAACCAAAACAATATTTCTGATATTCTGTCTCATCTAAATATCACCATTTGACAAGTGGTATTTGACAGTACCTCCTTTGGTCTCATCTTTTATAGTCATGGGATTCAATACTCATGCTACCATGAAAAACATACTCTGAGAGGTGCTGCAGCACAGAAGCTTATTTTCATCTCTGTCTCTAGGACACTTCACAGAACTGTTATAAACCACAGCAGGACCAGCCCACTATCAGCGTGCTGCAAAAACAATGTTTTTTTCCTCAAGGCAGAGCCTCTGTACCTGCACAAAAGACTATCACCAACCATGGCATTATATATACTCTTAGAAAAATCCAAAAGGTTGCAATCAAAGTAGTTTAGATTCTCTCAGTCCCTTCCCCACATTCATGTTTATTGCAGGTTTCCTGAGACTACAACTGAAATGTCTCTTTTGTACCCAGGACTATTGTAAATGAGTTTATTATCTGACCAATTACTCTCTCGATTTCTGTTTACAAGTTGCCTACCAGAGTAAAGTCTTACAGAGAAATTAGGATACCTTTATTAAGTACTTCCAATTTTTATCTATGCTTTAATTTCCTTGGTTATTGAAAACCCCAGAAAAATACTATCCAGCTCGTTTTTTTACAACAAGAGAATTGAAGACTGAAATTCTAACCTGGAGGTGGCTCAAAAAAAGCCTCTTGTTCTTCCTCAATGGGCTCAGTGTCGTTGTGAGCTGTCCGCTTGTGCATAGCAAGAGTAGAAATCTGCTTGTAGGTTTTCCCGCAGTGATTACAGTTGTAGGGTTTGGAATGAGTGTGTACAACATGATGTTTGTATAAACTGGAATACTCTGTAAAACGTTTATCACAACCAGGAACTGTACAGACATAGGGCTTCTCCCCTGTATGGGAAAACAAAAGGGACAAAGAGAACTTTATCCAGGATGCACAGAAAAAATTTGCCCGCAAATGGTATTTAGTGACACACCTTCATTACCAACCATACTTTTATTTGAAAGGCAACAGTGAAGCTCATCCTCACAAAGTTTATCAGTGCAATCTTTTACTGTGTTTTTTAAAAACTACTGCCAGTACAAGTTGGGCCCATTTTTCACCCTTTCATTCCATCTAAAGCATCCTTCTGATGAAGACAGAATGATACAGGCTGAAAGCTGCCGTGTCAGTTGGTCATTCTGTTGAAAACTTTTTTTCTTTTATTACAGGAAACCCTATACTTTTCCTCAGTGATCAGGTATGTCCATTCACTGTAGTATCACCTACTTTTGAGTCTGCTCTGAAGAAATCTACAGGAAGCACGTTTAAACAATTATGTTTTCATATAAAAACAACTTCTATTTAAAAATCAACAAAACAAATGTCTAAATTACATTGTAAAGTAAAATTATAAACTGAGATACAAAACAGAGATCTAGGAAGCACGTGTTTTATAAAATACATAATGCTACCAAGATAATATGGCTATCACAGGCTTTAACATTTTAGAACCTTCAAATTTGTGGTGATTTTTTCTGCCAACTAACCCTGAAAATCAAGTTGGGTAAGTATTTTCACCTCCAGTCGATAAAAAGGAAGTTTTGACCACAGTTTCAGCAGCAAGGAAAATACAGCTGGGATGAAAGGGTGACTCATTACAGTGAGCCAAAGTTAAGCTCAGACTTGTCCGTTACTGTTATTTATTTACAAAACAGCTCACAAGTGAGGCAAGCCCCAGAACCACATTAAGGATTTAGCCCAATGTCCATTGAAGACAAGGTTTTGCATCTATTTTAAAAAACTTTGTATCCAAACCAAAATTATTCTGCCTTGACAGCAAGGTGGGAAACCTAACTGCTTAACTCTCCTCAGCTGAGGGGAGAGAAGACCCAAAGAAAAGCACCAAGCCAGGTCATATGAACATGACTATACCCAGCTACAACACACCAAAATATTGTTCAGAAGGAGAATGACAGCCTCTCCCAAGCAGATTGCACTTCAAAATACAAAGCATCACTCATATACCTGTGTGTATTCTCACATGATTCTTATAATTAGTTGCACTGGCAAAAGCTCTCCCACATCCTGGCTCTGTACAGTAATAAGGCCTTTCGCCTGTGTGTGTCCTGATGTGAACCTTTCTAATATTAGATGTTGTGAATGACCTGCCACATCCTTCAAAGGGACACTTAAAGGGCCTTTCACCTGAAAAAAAAGACAAGAAAAGGTACACATGCAAAAGTTATAAAAGAACAAAAATTCTCCGTTATGCTTAGACTGAATGTAGGAATCCAAAGCTACCAATTTTATCGTTGAGATCCTCAGAAATACCATGAACATGCCACTGTGAAGTGTTGTAGTTTAGCCAAAACTGGCAAAATTCAGGAAAATTATACAGTCTGTAAGCTAAATGATGAAGCATTTAGATTAGTACTTTATAAGGCATAAAACAGACTCAGTTCATTTGATGAGCTTCCACGTTGTCTGTATTCTAACAAGTACTCAATACCCTCCCCAATTCATATCTATATTATCCAAAACAAGTGTATCATACCATTTGCACATTTGTCAATTGTTAATTCATAAAATGAAAAAACCCTTCATGGTTTAACATATGATACCAATGGGTAAATAAAACTCACTACAGAGAACACTTAACTTTAGCTGAGAAGAACACATATAGAGAGCCACAAAACTCAAGTTTCAAACTCCAAAACCAAAGCAATCACAAATACAAGTTCTTTTAAAGTAAGTCTAATAATGTAATATAAATTTAAGCACAATAACTTACAACCCTGCACCAGAACATTCCACTCTGCACACCAGACAAGGTCAACCACTAACACCCCAAACCCTGACCTTTCAGATCTATCAAAGCACACAGAGAGGGAGAGCAAAGGGGATGAGGTTTGGAGCAGTTCGAGCCACCTGACAGGCTGTCCTCCACCTCAGCACTTCTAGAGCTAAGTACATTCAACCCACTGTACTGCTTACCAAAGAGAAGAATCCCAGAGCAAGAGAGGGCAGAACACCACTACAGATACAACAATAGGTACTTAGAGACAGAAATAAAAACCCAAGTCCTGATAGAGACATTAATACCACAAAACTCCAAAGCAGTTAACTCCTTGGCAGAGGAAACTCCTATTCACTCCTTCGGGCAGCTGTTTCGGAAAGGTTTTCCAGCCTCTTGCCAAGGCCGTGCGTGTGCATTACGCATACACTCCTCAGTGTTGTGTTACCATGGCTCCCCCAAGCCTTGCTTCTGCCAGGACCTCAAACATGCCTGAAAGGAGCAGGGCTGCAGAGCCAACCCCGCCCAACAACAGCCCCTACACTAGAAACCCAAACAAAGCGGTTTTAAAGAATGCCCGCAGGAATGTCACCCGACCGGTCAGAGGAGGCAGCCTTTTCAGTTTCTAATGTCCTTGTTAGCAAAGCGACCTGTTTCCAGGTGACCGAGAATTGCAGCACTAGAAATGCAAAGCAAGCCCGAAGCCTTCAAGCTCTCCCCCCACTGCAGCATGAGGTACCATCCATACCAGCTTCTCTGATCCCCGAGCTGTGTGCCTGGGGAAGTCACGGAGGAACCCGAGGAAAGCATTTGATGGCACAGAAAGTGAGACTGGACTGCTACTCAAAAAGAGGGAAAAAAGTCACTTTTTGTTAAAACAGGCAGAAAATCAAGAAAGCACTAACCCCGATCTGCCTGATAAAGGAATGAAAAGGCTTCAGAGCCATAAGAGAGAGTAGGAGATCCCAAACCTGCCTCCATCGGGTGCACTGCTGCAGCTTGCATAGGGCATGAGCAAACACTGCTCCATCCATCTGCACAAAGGACTTGGCACAATTTTCTTCTCATTCTTTAGCTTCCTAAAACTACTCCGAAATTTAAAAAATGTCACCCCTGCACTCTGGTCCATGGACTGCTGGGAGATTATGGTACTATTATTCATATTGTTCAAGTGGGTAGATTACATGGGGCTGGCTCGAGCGTTGTTTCAGCTACTAATTAGACTAAAGAGATTACCACACAACTTCTATGGCAAGAAAGAAGTAAAAAATAAAAAAGTCTACAGCTAATCAAGTTGTCCATACTCCAGAAACCTTTCAGTCCACAGTCTGTACATGATCTAGTACACAAGATCCACAGTTCTCTTAGAGAACTGAAATGTTCATCCTGATGACCAATTTAACATCAAGACAGCACTAATCCCAACAGACTGTCTTTGAATATGGAAGCCCGAGAAAGTACAAGAAATATCTTACTGTAATATTAAAGTTTTACAATTTTATTGCCTGCACTTACATCCCACCTCACTGTATTGATCTTTTTAATCTGAGAAAAAAAAACTATTTTGTTTTTTCTTCTTTACTCACTAAGATTCAGAATGTTCAGTGGAAAAACTTACCAGTGTTCTAGCAGAGACGTAAACATACTTAATGGTATAGGCTAGCAAGTGACAGATTATTCTTCCTAGATTTAAGGGTTCTTCGGTTTGTTTTGGTTTTTTTTTTTTTTTAAGATCTCAGGAGAAAAGGAGACATTGTGCAAGCTTTTTTACATGAGTGCACCCACAGAGTTTTGCAGAGTTGTAGTGTATGCTGTCTAGAATTTATTTGTGTTTTGCCTTTCAAATTAATTTTTTTGGAAAAAATATAAGTTTTTTTTTAATGCATTTGGAAGCTTTATTAACAGTTGGTTTTCTATGATATTTTTGTTCAGTCTTCTGCTGCATAAAGAGAAGAGAAATCAGGATAACAAGCTCAGAAGAATCAACCTTCCTGAAGCTGGCATGCGAGCTGTATTGAAGGAACAAAACTAAAGAACACTGATGCCGTTTTTAAAAGGTGAGACATATTATTGAGGAAAAGTTCCTTGTTCTGTTACAGCTGCAGATGAAACTGTAAAGACAACAAGTGACTCAGTGACGATGTGAGTGAGGCATCGCTAAAGTTAGTGCATTTACAAAAGCAGTGTGAATGCTTGGACACCTTTTCCAAGCAAAGCATGCTGGATTTGCAGTAAATGCTTACCATGCTGAAATGCTGTTGAGCTCACTGGGCTTCAGAAAGAGAATATACACAGGCTGATTTTGCAAGTATAAAGTCACAGAACGAGGAAAGAGAAAAAAAGATCCACCTGAGTGAATTAACAGAAAAGTACTGAGTGATAACAGTACCTGTGTGGGTTCGAATATGTTTCTGCAGGTCTCCTGAAGTCTTGAATGATTTGGTGCAATTTTCTTCTGTGCACCGATAAGGCTTTTCACCAGTGTGTGTTCGGACATGACTTTTTAACCCATACCCTGAAGATCAGAAGGGATGTTACGGTAGTGTAAACACAAAATTAGGTCATAAACCATCACCATCAAAAGCTGTGCTTGCCATTCCAATCAGGAAACTGGATGATAAGTAAAATTTGCTTTCATTCTTCAAAAGCTCTTCATTTTACCATACAGAGCAGCATTTAGGTAACAGTTTAGAAATTCTTTCATCCTTCATTTAGAAAGAAAATACACTTCCATAATGCTTCTCCTTCCCTTCAGAAGGATAAACTGTAATCATTATAATGTAGACAAATATTTACTCTGCCTTCTGAGTAAGCTGTGTGCATTCCATCTAGTTTTTACCTCTTCCCACTACTGCCACCAAAATGACATTTGCTCACAGAAAAAGCAGTACCACTAATGAAGTCAGCAGTAAAAGCACATATATAGGTGCTAATTGATAGCAGTCACAGACACTCATTCCCTTTAAGATAACTTTTAGGAACTCATCATCATCAAAAACTCTACCAGTTGAAAGTGAACTTTGGATCAGGCCCTCTGTAAATTATTTTGCAATGAGGATTTTATCAAGATTTTTCTGTCAGCACTTCCCTGAAAATATAATGACTAAAGAAGCCTGAAACAGCCATTTTAGAAAACAAACCTGAATTTTACTTGTGCCCACAAATGATGTGTATATTTCTACAAAATAAAGAAAGTCTGTAAGAAAATGGCATTTGCTTTAATTTCACAGCATGTTCTCCCCAAACAACTGAAATTCCTATTCTTGATGTTCTTAAAAACACAAAGCATGTGTACCAAGCTGAGCATTAATTCACTCTTTACAGCTAAAATGAACTCAATTTCATTATCAAATCAAGGAGAGTTCTTCATATTTAAACCAAGAGCATTCAGTACTTCAAGTGAACTTTGTCAAAGGCAAGGATTGCTAACTACAGTGGTACAACAGCTCTGACCAAAAATATGGTATTTACAGAAAACAGCCGTTTATAGCCATACAGTCTGTTGCAACAGAATATTTCATTGTGTAGTTTTGAAATCCCTTTACAAACAGAATATAATTAAAGGTGCAGTTCTGTAAGTGTGATTGTTTCCCTTCTGACCTTTCTCATCAGCATTTATGTCTTAGATCAGATTAATTTATTTTAAAAACACCTTATTTAAAAAAAATTAAACTTAACTTTTCTAAGCATCATATTAATTTACATTCAAAGGAAAAGAATAAAATTTGAAAGAAGACTTGCTCTTCCACTTCGTGTTTCATTCTTCATAATTGCATTTTGCACAATCAAATTCAATCTCAGGAAGAGCATCATTTATGAACAGAGTAGTCTGTATGAAATGTAGTTCACGTCATGAGAGATGTCCTTCTGATACAAATTCAGTAAAGAACACTTAAAACAGCATCTTCCTTCAAAGTTCCTTTCAAATTTAGACCAGAAGATCATGAATCTACCTCTAGCCTAAAGCTTTCTATTATCACCAAATTTAACTTTTGCTATTAGTTTAATGTTAAGAAAGGCCTATTTTTCAACATAAAATTTGACTGTAGAGTAACAGGTGAAGAGTAAGGGAAGTGTCAAGTGTTTTATGTCATTCCTCCTTCAATAACTAGGAGTTAAATCATTTTTAAGTCATTTCTTTGTGCTACACCAGCTGAAAAGATTACTTTTTTTTTGCAGTTCTCCCAAGCAACTTAGCAGTTTAAAAAAGACAATACTAAAAACTTATTTTATTCAGAGACAAACACTAACAAGCAGGAGGAGTCTACAAAAGGTTACCTGTTGCAAATGCTTTGCCACATCCAGGATGTTCACACTGATATGGTCTGTCTCCTGTGTGTGACCTCTCATGCACCTGTTGACATCCAAGACAGAGACTTAATGAAATGTATCTGGTTACTTCAGCACAGAAACAGTTCATTCTCAAAGTCAACATATTTTATTTCTTTTCCTAAGATTCACATTCAAGTGTCTGTTTATATCAGTGATGAAAAATCATGAAATATAGTAACGTTTTCCCTAAAACTAAAGGTGTCTCTTTCCAAAGTTTAACCTGATCCTTCCAGTCAGTTTTGCACAAAACAATTCTGTAAACACAGGCAGAGTTGCCATCATGTGTCTACATTAAAGACAGTATGCAAACATGCCTCAGAGCCCACTCTATATCGGATTTTTTACTCCACTGAATGCTTCCAATAATCCTCTTATATTGCATGAAACCTCTGCAGCAAGGACAGAAATTTAACATGTGATCCATAGAGTCAGCAACTCACTAGCTCCTGTATTTAGTCAAGACAAGGCAGCACTGCATAGAGGTTACCTCATCAGCAAGTGATTATCTCAGCTCAACTGGAAGGGGAACAGCTCTACACCCTTACTGTTTCACTAATTCCTTTACTTAGTTTAAAAAAGGAAGAGAATTAAGGAGTTGCCATCTGTAAAGAAAAGATGCTCCAGCTTTTCACTTTGAATGTTAGATCATTTTGAAGAGCCAGACTTTGTATTATGATGGTGAAATATTTAAAAAAATAGAATTTTCGCATGATCATACACACACAATAAAAAAGTCCATAAAGTGAACACTGGATTCCAGAATTATTGTGACACTGCTGGTAGAAACAATCTCAACAAGTGACTTCTTATATTATGGTAATAGAGTGGCTTAACACACCTGCATCTACCCAGAACACTACGTAAACTCAGCTGAGCACCTGAGACAAATTAATTCAATAAATATTTGACAAAACAGCCCCACTGCAGCTGGCTCTCTATTAATTTCCATTACTATTAACCACAAACTTTACGAAATAACTGTGTCTACAAAGTAACAATGCACATTGTATTTCTGCTCACCTTAAGATGGTGAGCTGTTGTGTACAGTTTGCCACAGCCATCATAGTCACAGCGAAAGGCTTTCTCTCCAGTCTGCTGAGATTTTGCAGTCACTCTTGTTCCATGTCCTTGCAGGACAATCTTAAGTTAAAAAGAAAAAAAAATTAAAAAAATAAAAATAAAACTTTACACTAAAAAAAACAACAACCAAAATGGATCAGAGAAGTCACACAACTTTATTTTGCTATCAAGCCAGAGCTGATTATGACAGGGTTCTTTTGTTTCTCTTTGCTATGCCACGTATTTCTTACTCCTCAATAAATAAACTAACTAACTAGAAATAAATAGCTGAAAACATTAATTCTGATGAGAGAAACTGTAAAACATACTTGTAGCTACCAAATTTAAATGCTTGCATTAATTAGCTAAATAGCAAAGACAAAATAACTTAAAAAATAAGGCAGTGGTAAAATGACCAAATGAGTAGACAGAGGAATCTTAGATTACATCTAAGCTTCAGGAGGCAACTTAAACCCCTTTTAAAGGCTTCTTCATATGCTAACATACAAGAAACTTTTATACAGACTGAACAGAGGCAGACGCCCAAATGTAAGCACTTTGACACAAACGTATGCAAAGTGATCGAGACTATTGTAAAAGGTCTGCCCTCTTAGACCACCTCCCTTTCCTTATGGATCCAATTCTATTTCTTAACTGCCAAAAGAACATTTCACAGAATGGATGAGGAGAAAACACCTCCAGCTCAAAGCATGGTCAGCTGCAGCAAGTTCCTCACAGCAGTATCCAACTGGGTTCCGAGTATCTCTAAGGATGGGGACTCCTGCAGGCTGCCCCCAGCCTTCACATTCCCCATTAATCCTTCTTGGCAAATGAGGTCTAGCAAAGTGTCTCTCACCTTGCCAGCTGCTTGTTAACCTGCTTTAGATTGCCATTTACCAGCCCTGAACTCCAGAATCCTCCTGGATTTCATGTGCCCTGCTGTGATGCCCTTCCAGTAGATACGGAAGTCGTTAAAATTCCCCATGAAGACGTGGCCCTGTGAACATGAGGCTTCTTCCAGTTGTCCACAATAAGCCTCATGTTCTTCCTGACCATGCTCTCTGTAGCAGACCACAACCACCTCAACCCACCCAGGCTGATCATTCTGACCCATCCCAAAGCAGAGCCCTCTGCAGTCCTGCTGTTCCCACATGAAGGGCAGCTCCTGCTCCTCTCCTTCCCCACCTAGCCCTATTAAAGAGCCTTGGATCCATCCATTACAGCACTTCAGTTGTTTGAACTCTCCCACCACATCCCCCTCATCCAAACAAGACTGTAGCTCTGCAACTGCACATCGACCTCTATTTCCTCACTCAGATAGATCAGAAATTTGATTGGGAACAACATTCCTACAGATTCTTCAGAGAGGATGTGATACCCCCCCTAACCTTCAGACTGTTCTTAAGACTGAGGAAGCAAAGTTACTTATAAAATTTTAATCAACTGAAACAGTCAACTCCATCACTTCAGAAAAGCTTCTCTGAAACCATGGAGAGAAACAAAACCTCCTGGATCAAGAAACCCATTATTAATACTGTTGTTTAACCTATGATAGCATGAATCACAAAAGTCACTTCCATATATTAAGGATCATGGAGAATACTCTTGGTTGAGCACCTGCACTGAAGCACTGATTTTTTTTTCCTATCAGTAAACCTACTACTATTTCTTTGTTGTTTCAACATATAAAATATTTATATATTTTCAGATATCTGCTATAAAGCTGAAGTATACCAAAGTTTAAAAGAAAATGAAAACAGTTCTATAATGTGCTCATATCTGTAAGGAAATAACCAGACATAATTTTACCAATGTTAAGATTATTTTATCTTTCTCCCCCTCTTTGTATCAAACAGAATAACAGGGGAAAAAAACCAGTTTAACATCATGAGCATTTTTTTGTTCAAACAACTGGTTGCAGAAGTATGTGTTGCTCCACAATACATTAGTTGGTATGACTCGAGCATTATTAAGAATTCAGTTAGTATCATTCAACAAGAACAGATATCGTATTAAAATTACTTAAAAGACAATACATTAGGGAAACTAAAAAATTCATATGTTAGGAGGCACAAAGTCAGAAGAACGTAGCAAATAATAATGTGAAACTGAGAGGAACTGTGTGCTTCAAAATACTTCTAAACACACAGAATTAAAAAAAAACCCCTATTTTTACAAGATCACAAATCCATCCTGAGTTCAGACCGGTAACAAAGGAGAAAAACAAAGGTAACGAAGAGCTCAGGTAAGATTTTTATACTGCATATGTAAAAGCAGAATCATATAACCAAGGTGTGTATTACGAACAGATGGGTATAACAGGTTTGAAAGGAAATAGTGTAGGATATCCACTTGGGCACACAGAGTCTTTTTTTTCCACAAGTAGAAATCACAAAGAGGTTTTATGCTTTTTTCTGTGGTGAAACACCTCACTAACCACACGCAAGTCCGAATGACTGCTTAACAGTACTACATCTGTTACCTCTGGACTTAAAATGTTTATAAATATACACCCAATTAATTCTACGAGTAAACATAACTCTATTTTATCCCTAGTAATATATTAATTCAGAATGAGTTACAAGTAGGTATCTACTTAAATCAAGGTATAAACATGATTTGTATTTTCATACATAATTAATAGCTTTGGGCCCCTTCAGTTGGCCAACTGAAGACACCTTATATGGGTCAGAATTTGAGACTAAGCCTCAATCCCTTTTGAAATACCAGATCTCTTTTTGTTTGGAACATATAATGCTCCAAAAGATTGGCACACTTCCACATGGCACATATGTTGCCATACATGTCTGAGATAAAACAACCTTTAGATTCACTTTGGGTGGGGCTGAGGCAAAAATCAACATTTAAGTGGATACTGGTCACAAGGAATTTTGCTTAATAGGCTCTTACTTTCAGTTAAAATCCAACCGAGGCCTTCTCTTACTTGTCCTTGAATTTTGCTTTTTATTGGGGTTGTATCCCTATTCCAATCTACAAGTGTGCAAACCCTCTGAATTTCTTAATTTAATTTTCTGGAATACAGTACTGTATTTTACAGTGGAAGATACTTTTCCTCCTTATTTAGTTCATTGTTCCTTAAATTAAACAAAAAGGAAAGATGGGGCTTCTCTGGGCAGACCTTTCTCAACGCCATGACTTTTCCAGTTTTGATTCTATCATCTGAACATGTGAGGGCACAGAGGTTTTAGTACTGTTTTTGCTGTTGGCCATAACTTTTGAAGCCCAAATAAAATATTATGTCAAATACATAATTATAAGGATCCCAGGGGAATAAAAAGCTTGAGACTTAATAAGCTGCACCTGTATTGTCCATTACCCCTGAACTTTTAAGATCATCTTTTCACATTGAAAAGGATTTTATATTTTCATGTACTAACAACATGAGTTCAGAATAAGAAATGGAAGTATTTTTCTGCTTCTTTAAGCATTCAGTAGGGACAACACTTTTATCTACGGATTCCTTATAAAACCTGCAATAAAAGTCAGGCACCCTAACAGGGAAAGTGAAATCAAAATAAGTCATCAAAGAGAGAACAGTTCCAGACATATGCCTGGAATGGTCTCTCTTGAGAAGGAAATAAGTAACTACTTGAGACAGCATTCTTTCTGCTTTAAATACTATTAAAAGTGAGTTCATTCCCTGGAAAAGAACTTCTGAAATACTTACACTCTTACTGATGAAATACCCAGGTCAGCTTGAAAAATCTTAGAAATCCAACATAATTTTTAATTACCTTTTAACAGAAAAAAACTCTAGAAAATAATAAGTATTAGATGATCGTTTAAAATCTTGTGACAGCATCTTGTACAAAGGGAGATAGTACAATCTATCTGTATAGCACTGAGATCTAAAACTCCTGAGGGGTAATAGCAGACCCTAGTTCATGGCTACAGGACTACCTATCTACCTTGCTGGGCAAGGAAGGCAGAAGAAATTAATATACTTATTTTGTATTGGGCACATACCTGCATTTTTTTATCTTGTTCATTTTCACCTATCATTCCTGTGCCACTAACACTGTCATTTCCATCAATAGACACCTGAAAAACAAAATTGAAATGGGAAAAACATTTACAAGTTATTTTTACTCATTTGAAAGACAGAGGGTTACAGACAGACTCTGAAGGCTTATTATTTCATAGCTCTCTAGCTCCCTCCCTTTGAAACATGATGATCCTGCAGTGCATTAGCTTTCATAAAAATCACCACATGCAGCACCTGCATTACAGAACAGGCAAAGGGAGTGTATCAAAGTTGTTTTACAGATTTTGTAAATTTAACAATAATAAGTTCTGACAGGAAAAAAGAAAACATTTACTTCCTTTATAATAAGGAATTTATCTCATTCCCCATTAAGCAGAAATTACTTGTTTTGAACAGCACAGGTAATTTGATTCCAAAGGGGTTTAGACAATATGGATTACATCTCAATTTGAACTAGTCAAATTACAACAGCTAAGCAATGACTTGCGTATTGCTCTAAGGGTTTGTTTTTAAAAACATTCTACAGGAGAAGAAAGGTATTGTTGCCTTCCAAGGAGCTTATAAAAATATCTGAAAGTGTATTAGTTGTTAATGTGACATTTTTATTTAAATAAAAATATTAAAAAAACACAGAACTGTCTTGCATGCAGCAACTCGAAGAACAGTCTTATTAGTCACTGTAGAAAAAAATTAATTTAAAGTATACTCTATACAGTTTCCCATTCCTTAATTGCCTCTGTATTAAGCACAGGCATTCACAATACTCTCTGCATCCATTATACTCAAGATTGAGATGAATGCATCTAAGCTTTAGACTAAGTGATTTTTTTATTCTCTAAAACAGCTTGGCAGGAACCCTACCCCATCTGGGATGCTCATGCCCTTTCCCTAAGGAGGCCAGAGCAGGCTCTTGAGAATGCTGTGGTTGTGCAAAGCTGACGCCCGAAGCATCAGTTCACCTGGAGATGGGAGATGAACTTGTCCCTTAAGAAAGCTGTCAGACTGTACTGTCTCTCTAAATTAGACAGTTGTCAGCAATAACCTCTTGGGAACTTCAAGCTAAAACAGTGAAGAGGAAAGTGCCCAAGCAGAGGCAAGTTTGCATTACAAAAAGATTGCAAACAGAGTCTGAACGCAGGTAACTTTTGGGTGGGTTTTTTTAAAGGAAACAATAGCCATTTTGGGACCTTCTCCTTCAGAATTTTTAAAGGAAGGGGAGAGAACCTTCACAGAAAGGAGACTTAAATTACTTCCTCCTGATCCTCCTGTTGTTGGTTGAGAAAGTAACTGAAATTAGAACTTCATCAATGCCACTGGAAACAAATGATCCAAACAGAACATGCAGGCATGTGTGGAGACATGCAGAAATCCCAGGAACTGTACTTTGCCAACAGCTGTAATGTGGAAGGAAAAGAGCTTATGGAAGGATAGTATGTGTTGTAACCTCTTCACAGTTCTATCACATACCTCCTGACTTTAATGTTCACAGAGAGCAAGGATCTCTTTTTTCTCCTTGGCTGCTTTGGGAGAGAAGTGGCATTGACTCAGCCCAAAATTAAAAGGACTACAGTTAAGTCTGCATGTGTTTTGCAAGATGTGGGCAGATAGTACTATGCCTGAAGGAGAAGCGAGGGACAGTGAAAAATGTACATATTCCACCAGTGAGCTTCTGTGTAGTCTCCTTGTATCTCTTTGTAGGAACTCTTAATATCTGTACTAATCCTGGGCAGCCCGTTGAGCTTTGCTGTTTTTGCCTGTTCTGTAGGACAGGGAAACAAAAGAACCACCACCCTCCACTCCAAACCCACCTTCAAAACTTTCTTTGTACTTTTAAGTTTTGAAAATAAAACCTTAAAAAAGACACCCAATTTTAAACTTCTCTTTTGCAGTATTGTGAGAATTCTGGAAGGATTCCAAGGCAGATCTTTGAGTTCCTCCTAAAAGACTGTCTTAAATTCTAAAGAAAGCTTTAGTCTGCATTTAATTAAAAACATAATAACACCTACATTGAGTCAAACTAAAGGCCATACTAGTGCACCATTTCATTTCCAACAGCAGCCAGTAGCAGATGCTGGAGAATACTAAACGAACAGGCCAAGCACGTAGTGATGCGTTCCCTAAAATATTCTCCCAACCTCCAAGCAATTTGCAGCTTATGAACTTCCTGAAGCAGAAGTCACATGTTCCTACCTAATAGCTGTGGACACATTTTTCTTCTATGAATTTATCTAATTACTCTTTGAATCCAGGGATATATTAGCATCCACAATATCCTACAAGCAGTGCAGTGCTTGAACTTTGTGCTGCTTGGAAAAGTATTCTTCCCTTGTTTTTCTTGAACCCATCACCTGAGAGTTTCATCTGATGTTTCCAGTTCTGAAACTGGTATAGACAATGACAAATCACTACTCTTCTTTGTGCCACTTAAAATGTTATAAAATTCTATCATACACTTAATTTATGTATTTAATGTCTTCCTGTACCTTTTTCAACATGTCTATACCATTGAAAATCTGGTATGGAAAGTGTACATTGCCTCACTGTGAAGTGTACAGAGACATGGAGTAGAATCCCAAAACCACAATACTCCTTCTAGGGTTGTGACCAGTGAGATATTATTTGCTTTTCTAAGTAAACCAGGTGTAGTACTTGGAATCTCACTTCTACTGACTTTCCCCAGAGGTTCGAGCAGTACCTTTCAGAATAAAATTCTGAGATGAAAGTGTAGAGAAAATAAATAGAATTTTTCCTAAACATAGACAAAAGTGCACTACAGAAAACAAATTTACATTACAGAATTAAAAAAAGACATACTGAGGTAAATAGGGCAAAATTGAAAATTTATTTGCATTTCTTCTGTTTCTTCTTTACCTTCTCACAACTTATCAGAAATTACGGTTAATGTAGTCACTGGTTAAGAAGGGCAAAATCATGACTGATTTAAACCTAAGTGAAATAGTAACAGAACATGTAAAAGCTTGTCATTACAGTTCAACTGACCTTGAACTACCTTTTATTTTATGAAATGTTAAGGCATAGCCAAAAACAACACAAGTTGAGCAGCTCTATTAGTATCTCTCAATTGTAACAGATAGAAGCCTAATGGAAAGAATAGTGCATAAGCCATTTAATTATCCCAACTGGCCTTCTCCCAAAATTTGACAACTGCCAGTGACTCTGGAAGACAGATTTTAAAATTTATTCTACTTTTTCCAGAGCAATACAAGCAGTGATGGTCATTATCCAGCAACTGGGACACTGCTTAACTATAGTCCTGAAGTTGCATCACCCATTACTATATTTACATCATGCTTTACAAAAGTCCAGTAGAGTGAACAACATGGAATTTTGAGCATCATACTACATTTTACTATTGAAAGTATGGATCAAAGAAGTTTTTTCCAAAGTTAGTAACTGTCAGTTATCTGTTTTACACTTCATACCATGTGTTGTCCTTGCCCAGTACACCAGGCTGTTCTCTTCCCATTCAGGAAAAAAAGAAATGCAGCAATAGTGGCTTACAAGAATAATTTAACTTTGTCCTTCTTTCCAAAGAGTGTCCTTTCAAGAGACTCCTTTGTAACAGTGTATTATACAGAAGATTATTATCTAGCTATGTAAATTGCTTTCCAAATCGGTCTGACTTGAGCATTCAGTCTTTTCTGCAACATTACACACTGGAGCTGCTCATGACAGTGAAGCACTGTCATGACAATTTGGTGTTCTCTCTTCTTAGAGTCTAAGACTCTCTTAATTATAGTTTTAATTCTTAGACAACAGTTGGCTTTTGCTGCTACACTAAAACATTATGGATGGAGGAAACATCTCTCAGTGTACCTTGGCTGCATATTGCTCCAAAGCACTGATGGTGTCCGGGTCGATGGCAGCATCTCCTGTGTGAAGACCTGCAACGGTGCCATCAGCCTGAATGGCTAAAATGGTGTCTGACTGGGGCATTTGCACCGTGTGGTGGATGTAGGCAGTGGTTCCATCCTCCAGCTGGACAGCTTGTAACGCACTCTGGTCATAACTGTCTGAGAAAGGGTATTACAAAGTGTTAGGATTCCAAAAGGAACAGCAATGTCTGCATGTTACATGGGGAAACTACTGCTCTTCAGGAAATGATTCCTGAAGTCATAAATACATGTGAGATATATGAGAAATATAAACACTAGTATTTGAGAAATATAAACACTTAAAGTAACACTATAAATAGCATTGAAGAATTTTTTTTCAAGACAATACCTCCTATGGTTTTATTTCTGCACTTACGAAAGTATAAACAAAAATTTATATTGGTCTAGCTTTGTTTACAAAGGAAACCAGGAACCCAAATATGCTTTCCATTTCATATCCACTCAAAATAAAATTAAAATAATGTAACACATACTGATGTCAATACTTCAGATCTTAGAATTCATGAATCTGATCATTTTAAGTACAGAATCATGAAAAATATGCAAAGAAACACATAAAATATATGATTACTCTTAACAAAAAATAATCTTTATTACATTCTCTGCTCTTGGTATTGTCACGCTGGTTTAAACAGATCGAAAATATATACTTGATCACTTTTTCTAGAGAAGTGGTATTATTTCCAGGACTAGTATAATCATCTTCTACAGAAACATAAGTTATCATTTGGAATAAATACATTTGCATTCTTGCCTGTCAGCTGTCACATTTTCTGCCCTACTGCATAATGGCAAAATCATCGATAGCATGATCTTTAAAATTCAGGCCAATCTCTACATTCTTTAGCTCAAGCAGGACTGACTAATTCTTACCTAATTCTTTGTCTTCCATTTTCACATGCAGTTATTGCTGACATCTGTATAAGGCCTTATATTCTCTACTAACATGACATAAACTTACTCTAATGTAACCCTGGGTTAACAAGCAAATGTGGTATATGCTGGTTTGGATTCTGTTTATAACTGTTATAGGAGGCCCAAATAGGGAACCGAACCAGTCTCATTTCAGCAATTTTCACATCACAAAGTAGAGGCAACAAGTAATTTACACTGGGAATCACACTAACTAACGTGATAGTTTTAAGAGAGGATCATATTTGATACTGCTGAAGCTCTGTTGAACACTAATGTAATGAATCACACTTCAAAAAAGAAAGTTACCTTTCGAGGTGTGATGAATAAATGCTGTAGTTCCATCTTCCAGCTGAACTGCCTGTCCATCCTCCAGACGCAAGCTGTCCCCTGTTCACAGAATTACACAACTTCAACAACAGTCTGAAGAATACCTTAGCTAGAAAGATTAAACACTAAATACATAGGATTACAAAATACCTAACATCTCTTTATGACTGTTTCCATTACAATAAGAAATCAAGCGATTATCACGACTGTTAATTGATCAATATTTATCAGTAATACATTATTTTATAACATATTTTTTGTATTATTGCACTCACTGCTTTTAGGCATAGGTACATGTTGAACATAAGCAGCAGAACCATCTTCTAATTGAATCACTTGGCCGTCCATTAATTTACCATCTGAAATATACAGACAATTAGAATTCTTAAAAATATTCTAACACATCACAGTTTAAACACACAGTTGATGCTTTCTGGATTAAAATATAAATAAAGTCTTATCAAGAAATAATGTTAGGTAAAGAGTAAGCACAATGTAGCCATGCAGAGGTTTAAAAATTCTGAGATTATAAAAATGGAAAAGGTCTGCTGTCCTATCCAGTGGGCAGAATGTTGATATTTCAGTTTGAACTGTAAAGATCACTTCACTTTTGTTTGACTCATGTTCTGAATTTGACTGTTGCATCTTATTAGTAGCTTATATTTACTTATAAGTAAATATTTATTTTACAGTATTACTGTAATACCTGTAACTTCCAACTGGAATTGGAACTTCATAAACATTGTACAGATTTTGCCTGACTTTAAAATCCAAAGAGAGGACTAAAATGGGGACATCATTTCAATACTCATCAACTTCCAGTCCTTAACGTACCTTTAGAATTGTGCTGTATGTAAGCAGTGGAGCCATCAGCCAGGGTAACTGCTTGCAAACTTACACCTTCCATGTTTTCCAAGTTATCCCCATCTGGCAGGGAACAACATTTCAGGTTCACTCTAAACAGCATCAAACCCTAGAAACCTCAACTTAAAGACCTCCAGTAAATTATTCCATCCTCTTAAAGCATACTGACTTCAGAAAGAATAATGGCAAGTAGTTCTTACTTGCTTTCTGGTTTCTGAACCTTGACCACATATTTGGGACATATGTCCAAGATTTTGCTCTGTAAAGATGACAGCTAAAAGGTTACTTTCCTTAACTAAAAAAATATACAGTGACACTAAATAACTAACTACAAATGAGGCCATGAGAATCAACAATTAAATAACATTATATATACTTGTATTGATCTTTTTTGTTTTGTACAACATTAGCTGTCACTGATACACACAAAACTATTTAGGATAAAATACAGGAAAGGGTTTGTAATCATGTAAAATTATAATAAAGCTGTCAGAAAACATTAGGTTTAAGCCATTCTTAGGTGATTAATCTATTTTAAAACTTGTTTAATACCCACTTAGATATAAACTGCAGTTACAAAGTATAAAAGAGTAAGACTATACTGAGAATAAAGTCAGATTTTATATTTCACACTTTGGCACATTTACACTTCTATTCTCTTAATTAAGAGATAATTTCATTTCAGAATTAAATTAGTGAATTTAACCAACCTCAGTTAACTATCTTCTGATATATTTTTCATTTCAAATGCACTACATGAATTTTAGTGTTTTATCCGAGTTTCAAAGAGGAAAGACACAATAATGTAGAGATATTTTAACCTGAAGGTTCACCTTGCACAGCTACAGCTTCTGTCAGACACAGAGTCACGTGCTGGGCCTCCATTCCTCCTCCAGAAAATTCAGTCATTCCCTGAGAGTCTCGGTTTATCTGAGCTAATAACATTGTCTACCTAGAAAAAAAGCATTCACAAAATCGAAAATTTAAATACAGAACCAGAATCAGTTAATCCCAGTTTAATGTGATTTTTATATGGCTGCTACAAATATTTTGTTAGGTTTTATATAAAAAAGATGCAAAAAATTATTTACTTACTTGGAAAATACTTCAGAGGAATAAAAGTTATCTGAAATAGGTAAACATTACTTCCTGAATTAACTAGGCTGTTAAGGACTTCACATAGTAGTTACTAAATTTAAGTGCATCAACCACATTTAGATTTCAGTTAAATATAAATTATTTAACCAGTGTATAAAGAAAAACGGTGGTAATGACAGTATTATTAATAATAGCTGTTTGTCCCCAGAATTAAAATAAAGCTGACAATTCACCCATAGTCACCCCTGACAACAGCAGACCTTCACCTGCATAAATTAAACACCTCTTCAGTGCCAGATCGAACTTATCACACACTGGGAAATGCACACTTCATTAGTAAGTCTAGTAGAATGATCCAACTATTTCCCTAGACTTTACAGAAAGATTGCTGTTTAAATAAAAATAAAAATCTGCCCTTGAAATGTGTTAATGACACAACAGCCCAGTGACTAGGGAGTGACTGCTGTATCTCACAGAACCAGATACAGCCATCCCTTTGGATACTGATTTTCTTACCCAAGCATCTTTCAATTTGGGAGATTTATAAGTTTACTGAACCTAAAAGGCTATTAATAATTTTCACTATTACTGGATTAAGAAGCTATAAAGGAAATATATAACACTGTGTTCTGCTAACTCAGATGTTGGCTTTAGCCACAAGGAATAAAAAAACCCAACCAAACAAAAAACCAACTGAGTTCTGCAAACTCTTTAGTTAATGTGACATCCACTTAGATGTGGACGAAAAGTGAGGGGAAAAAAAAGCATCACATGGAACTGGAATCTAGGTTACAGAGCATTACATTCCCCCCCGCTCCAACTTCTTCATAGTCAAGAGTTTTTCTTACAGTAAGAAGCAGTTAGATAATCTCACAGAGAGGTTACAGATAATCACAGCTTTCAATCCTACTATGGTTCTATGATCTGCTGGTTTACAATTCAAGGCTGAGAAGAATAATCTAAGGTTTTTAACTTACTTATGATTACATTTCTAAATAACTAAACTATTTTAAACTCTCAGAAATCTACCCTTGGATAATTCATCAGTGTCAAAGACCACTGAGAAAACCATGCCTATGTCAGAACTAAAGAATAAGGAATGCAAAATTAGACCATGTAGGTACTCCAGCATGCCTACAGCATTTAAAAGGTTACTACGCTCATTTCGTAGTTGAAAGTTATACCCAAGCAATGTTTTCCAAATACATCCAAGTGTACATAGTGAGCCAGACTACTTCCTAGAGCTGCGGGCAGCTACTTCAGCTTCTTAGTCTGAGCAGAGGACAAGCAGCTGCCTTTGGCCACACTTCAGCCAGGGCTGTGCACAAGCCAGTGTGTCCCCACAGCCTGCTAACTTCAGTGTGCTGCTACACCACCTACCCACAGCACCTCCTGTGGAGTCAAAATCCCCTTGGCAGGTGTGAGGATATTACTGACATCGTGCTTAACTGTTAAGAGCCCAGTAATGGAAAAGACAGAATTTAAAAAAAAAAAAAAATGGAAAGAAAGAGTACCTTTGGGAAGGTTTTAAACCTCCTACTTTTCTTCATGTGCTACACTGAAAAGCACACAAGAAAAAAAAATGGCTAATGATCAGTTCATCAGTAAGAAATATGCTTTCCAAGATTAAAATCCTCCATAATTTCTACCTGGAATATAAAGGTCTGTAATATGGAATTTGAACCTGGAACAACTCTAGCATTGAAAATACAATTAAGATAGAAACCAAAATATAATTCAAAACGTGTAAGAGATTTTTTTTTTAAACATCCAAGAGAAGATGCGTAATTCTTCTTCCCAGCATCCTTTTCAAGAGAAGCTTTTACAGAAAATGAGGCCACTAAAAGAGTTCTAATACAACCAAAAAAGAGCCAGCGCATAGAGGCCATCCAGACTAAACTGCATTTATAGTAGATGTTTCTGAAGAAAATGAAATACAAAAAAATGAAAAAGGGTTTTTTTTATACTATAACCTAAGGGACAAGGAATTGTATGAGGACATAAGAGATCCTCAGTTCAACCTCTTCCTCTGCCATCTCCGCAAGAGTGACTTTGGACAAGTAACTTCTTTCCTTACTGCTCATTTATAACCCCCAATCTCAAAATAGGGAGAAAATACTTAAGAAGCACTTTGCTTGCAAACCAAACATGGGACAACAATGCCTAACCAGGCACTGAAGTGGCCCTACTCTCAGCATTCATGTATTATGGAGCAAATACGATCAGAGAACGGATGCAATTAAAAAAAACCAACTAGCAGCAAAGCGAGATTTATTGCAGACCAGTTTGAAAGACTGCTTCTCTGGAGGTACTGCCAGCTTGTAGGAAGTTAAATTAAGTAATAATGGTATTATATGCTAGTGGTGCACAGAGAGTCTGTCTTCTTAACTGCTAACAGAGGTCTGTGGGGCCTTTATTTTCCATTCACTGAATTTTCAGGACACCTCATGAAGCAGGTTGCAAAACAGCCAGACTGTTTCACACAACAAAGAAAGGCTACACAACCTCTGGTTTTGACTAGAGCTGTACAGTGAAACAATTCCAGCAGGGACTGCGCCTCAAAGGCCTTTCAGCTCAGGTAAGCTTGATGAGTATTCCATCTTGGCTCGAGTATCTTGTAAGGATCCTCTAATGTACTATCTGCCTTCCTCCAGGGCTTAGGGCCCTTCTCTCACCTTTGGGGCAGTAGTGAAGAATCCCATCAGCACAGACAGCTGCACAGTTCTGACAGAGTCTGAGCAGAACCAATGGCTTAAGGGGTCAGCAGCTATTTTGGAAGAAGATAAATTCAAGGGCCGAAGAAGCAATAGTTTTTGTCTAAATTGTTTCAGTGTTTGTTACTATAGTGTTGCTGACTAACAACTATCACACGCTTGGAAAGGACCGAAGTGAACTGCTGCACACAGAGCAATGTCTACTACTTTCCTCTATTTCCCATGAACTGGACAATCACTACCATCTTACACAGTAACTTACACAGACTGTATTGCTGCTTTCTCCCAATTTTTGCTACTTCAAATGATCCCTTCCAATATATCCTTTTCCCGATCCTCTGTCCTTTAACTAAGTTTCTTATCCTCAGCTCTATCCCTTCTCCTTGAAGTACCAATTTCCTTCTTCAGCCAGTCTTACCATGGTACTAAACTTCCAGGACATCCCTCTTATCAGAACAATCTAAAATTAACTTCCATGTCCACACCAGCTCCTTCTGCACTATTCTCCAAGTCTTCTCTTACTGCTGGTCTGTTCTACATGCCCATCACACCACTGTCTATCACCTTCCTGCCTCTCTAATTTAAGACATTTATGTTTAGACTCGCCTTGGAAGCACATCCCCCATAACAGAGGTTGGAGCACTGGAACCCTCCCAGACAGCAACCCCCAGGACTCACTCCCTCTCTGGTGACAGCAGATTTGCTCTGTCACTGCTGTGCAGGGAAGAGAACTCTCAGCCAAGAGTGGATGTGCTGCTCCCTTTCAGCCTCCGTGCCTTCTCCCCAGTGGAGAACACAGACCAACCAGACAGGGCTATGAGCTCTGGGAACAAGGAAAGATGCAAAGTTGGCCTGTAGAGAAATGATCATCGTATCAGAGAGGCTGCTGCTATGGCATTATTTTGTAAGAGTGGTCAAATATAGGAACAGATTGCCAAGACAGGTTATGGGCTCTCCCTCCTTGTAGGTGTTCAAGACTCGACACAGCCTTGGGCAGCCTCGTCTGAGAGACCTGCCTCGATTGGGGCAGATATCTTCTGGAAGCCCCTTCCAACCTAAACTGCTCTAGGATAATTTTTATAATGCATACACTTATAACAGTATCCCCATGCTGTTGGTATATAATCTACCCTGCAAATCTACTCTTCCAATGTATTTTAATTTGCTTTGCTTTTCCAAAACCAGTCTGTTTTCATCAAACTCAAATATCTTCCCTTACCTCCACCAGTCACTCTCTTGCATTCTCTTTTCCCCTAACTGGCTTATACACTTTCTCCTGAGCCTCCAGCAAATTTGTCTCCATCGTTTTTCCAGTCTGGATCTCACCAGCTTTTTTTCCCTGATCGACCTCATTGCCTTTATTTCTGTGCATTTGCATCACTAAGCATTTTTCCTTAAACCTGTCAGGAGTTTTGTCAGCAAAAATCTGGGAAGAGAAAGATTTCCTTTACCCACTGCAAATACTGCAACTCATGAGTTAAAAAGCAGCTGGAAGTACCCATTTTTAGGAAAAGAGGGAACGCTGGGGTGGAGCCTGTGTGGCAGCTCAGCAAGACTGATGTACATGTGTTCTTAATCTTAAGAGCTGTCCAACAAAGAACAAGTACAGGCTCAGTCATGAAGTACTCAATGGAGTGAAAACCTGAGACTTGACTTCCTGAACTCTGTGGCAAATCTTCACAGATCGTACACACGTTGCAATTATCAAAGGCAAGTTAATGGTATTTGGGGAGACTTTCACAAGGACAGTAACACATCTTGCATTCCTGAAACAATTAGTCACCAAAATAGTCCTACGGTACTCATGGAGAGAAAATCTTACCATTCTTTAAGGTGGTTAAAATGCTTCTCAAAAAAAGTCAGCCCCAGACAGAAAAGTCAGATTAAAAATCTCTGAACTGGAAACAGTGTCTGACAAAAGGAAGCAACAGCCAGTAACCCCAGTATAACACTGATAGATTAAGTACACAGGTGCAATATTTTATTTAAAAAACAAAAAGAAACAAAACCCCAAAAATCCCAAACCACCCCTTTCCCTCCTGCAGATTATCTGAACAGAAAAAACTGTGAACTCAGGCAATGTTAAATTCTCAACACTGAGGGGAGGTGGTTATTTTTCATGAAGACTTCATCAAGTTGCCCATCTAGAGACCACCTCCTGTATTTTTCCCTCCACTAACACTCAAATAACACGTTCTGGGTGCCATCACTTGTTTTGGAAAAAAGATGCAACGTTAAAAGAGTGGATTTTACATAAACTCAATTTAGCAAATGGAAACAGGAATCTCCACTAAGAACAGGAATCAAGCAACTGAGCCACAGCAGGTGGATTCAGGCAGTTAAAAAGTGAGGGAAGAGCTGGCAGAGGCCATGGCTGCCATGGAGCAGAAAGGGGGTTTGGGGCACTTGGGAACTCCAGCAGCTGAAAGGAAGTACAGCATAAGAAGACCCCAGTGAAACTGCAAAGTAGCAGGAATTTATCATTTAAAGAAAGACTAAGTCACTACATGGCTGGATAAAGCAGAAAACCTGCAGTAGAGAAACTCCTTAGAGAAAAAAAGATGATGCTTACAGGATGATTCACAGGAAATGGAATAAAGTTTGTAATAGCAGACATGGAAAACGTACTGTTATAAAATACAATCTTGAATGTGTGGAAAGAACTGGGAAAGTCAGACAGGAAAAAAGCTACTCCAGACATTCAGTAACTTTGTCATTGTTCACTCCCATCGTGAAGACAGCACTGAGAAGTTTGAAATAATACCCACTTATTTCGTTTTAAAAGAAACATCACTTTTATTTCAATACATGTCTAAACAATGTACAAAACCATTGTAATTTTATAAAAGTTATAAAAATGGCAAATAAAAACCAATCAAGAAAAGACAGCAAATGATATATAACCTCACAGTAGTAAAACTTGCATTAATAACTTTTAGAAAACAGCACTCCCACATTTGAGAAAGCTGGATCCCAAAATCAGTTCAAGTATGTCAGCACAGTAATGTAATTAAGCTTTTTCTAAATTGGTTACTGCCTGCATTAGGGCCCTTAACTGACATGACTGCAAATAGCTGTAATTTCACAAAACTAGCCTGAATGACAAACATTTGTGAAAGACCAAATTAGTACCTACAATTAATAATCTGGTCAAATACACTTGAATTGATAACTGATACGCAGTACAGCCTTCTGGGTGTCTCAATGCAAAAAATGTCTGGCATGGACTGGAAAATTGCTTGTCCACACAAAGTTTTTTAAGAGGACTTTCAACATTTTGTTTTGCTAATTATATGAAGTCATTTGTCACCTATAAGCTTAGAAATACAAACATGGGAGAACTTAAGACTCTACAATCTTACTTCTGTTCCCCTATATATCTGTACGTTAATCTTTTCCAGTTTTACAGGAGAAATCTGGAGCAGGGTCAGAAATTAAATTTAAATTCTGTGGGTGCTTTGAACAAATGCTTCAACAGACGTGGATTTCTTTCTTCATCAACAGCCCTTACCTTTTCCAGTACTTTACCTCTGCACTGAAACAGTGAGATTTATGCTGCAATCATTGAGACTGACTTCCAACAAATAAATACAATAGACTACTTAATGTCAGGCACTTCTAAGTATTTCTCATATAATCTCAATGTCTTTTACTGAATCTTCTCCTGTCTCTTGTAAATGCAAAACATAATTAAACATCAGTTTCCACCACATTAATCATCCACGGTATAAGAGAGAAACAAGGCTGAAACACAGAACAAAAATCTCTATTATGGACTCTGGTAACAATAGCTGGATTCAGATAAAGGGGTAAGATATGCAATTTAACAGCAAATTACACAATTAGTTTCTAATTTTCTACATGGTAAAGAAGTGTGTGAATTATCAACCACGGGCTCTAAGCCTGCCCCTGGAAAAGAAGCTGACGAAGACTGACAGCACGGCCAACTGCATAAGCTTGGTGTACACGCTCAGGGTGGCAGCACAGCTGACCTGCAGAGACTCATGGTGCCCAAACCAGAGGCTGGAAGTCAAACTCAAGGCTCCTTTTTACTTTTTATAGTATTTCAACTCTTCTGTTCCACAGGAGATACGTCCTGATAATAATGCAGTCCAAGACTGATTCACTGCCACTGTTTGGCATCTCCTCAGAAAGAACAGATAAATGCAAGACCAAATTTATCACTGCCATAACGATGCACAAGCCTGACTTCAGTGAGAGCCATGAGAACTTGGGCAGTGAGAACCACATTTAGCCTAACAAAATCACTTTATGTTCCAGCAGTCTTTTTCCCCAAAAAGTCATTACCATACAGTTTACATTGCAAATACCATCTACAAACTGTCAGAGATCAACGTTGGCATTTTATATATATTATGAGATGATGCATATGTGTGTAATTTCACGCTGTGGGAGTGCTAGGGTTGCTATTATTTCCAAATGTGTGGCATTTAAACACAGGCAGATCAGAAAGCCACCCACCGAGAAGTCCTACACGTGTAGAAAAGACTCAGGTTGATCCCAAATATGTCTGCTTACTTCACACGTTCCTTGAATATATGAGAGAAGAAATTACTGGTTAATCAAAGGAAGCCAGAGTAGTTCCATCAGCATGTGAGCTGTCAGCAGCGCTGACAGAAAGCCAATTAAACTGCTGCTGCAGCTCTGGGACAAGCACCTCACAGCAGACACAGTTCCATGAGCACATCTGTTTTGGGTGCACTGTTACAGCACCACTGCTTCCAAGTGAGCAGCACAGCCTTGAGCCAGCAGTTTGGAACAATTTGGGAGTCTTTCAACAGCGCCAATTCCAAAAATCCTGCAAGGAAGCTGACAAGCCATTGAGATCCATACAGCACTGTTTGCAGAGGCAGAGAGACCGGGATTCTGAGAATTACTTACCCTAAGTGTACTAATGCACCCGGTCAATGAGCAATGCCATAATGAGAGTTATTATTATTAGTGGAGTGCCCCAGAGGTCTGGCTTGAGAAAGGGCCATTCATATAATCTGTACCAAAACACCCAATTCAGGTGTGACTGAAAACACCTCTGTCATTGGGAATGCTTGGCTGTGTGCATGGAACAGCCTGCAGACCTGCTGCAACAGGAACAATGGAACTCACCTACCAAAACAGGCCATCAAGTTTCTCTCAAGTCAAGATGATATTCCTTGCTCAAAGCTAAGACACATTTCTTCTCTCCTGGCCAAACTTGTATCATTAATGCTCAGGAACACCTTTTCTAAACAATACCCTCATTTTCTTTACTGTGGACTAACTGGTAATAAAAAGTAAAAAAAAAAGTAAGGATAAATAATTATAATTCTGAAGTGCAAATTCAGGGAAAAACCCTGAAACTGTGGTAGGTTATATGATTTTCTGAAAAAAATGTACGTGATTGACAGAGATGAAAAAAAACACCCAAACTTAAAATAATTTTTCAGCATGCTCATGAGATAAAGCACAAGATTTCATTCCAGTGGAGTTTCACCCTAGAAGTCATGAAGTGCAAAATAGATTGAAAGCATTTAGGAGACGAAAGTGTGTTTTTAAAACAAGTTCTTCTTTTTGGCTTCTGTTTGTTTTTAACATCAAGTGTATATATACCTAAAATGCTGGCTATATCAAGAAGGCATCCAGGTGATTCATGTCAGAATTGCATCCAAATTACTCCTAGAATAATGCCTATTTGCAGTTAAAAAAAATATAGTTAATTTCTGAAGAGCTTCAGGGAGCTACTTAATCCTTGAATCATAAAACTTGCAGTTATACCAGTGTTTTAAATAAAACTGGGAACATTTGCTTAACAGGTAAATACGTAAGGGCTAAAAATCTGAAAGAAACTGAGATCAACTATTTCTATCCATGTTTTACTTGAATGTCAAACAGACTTCTTTCTTAATTGTCAAGGAATCACAGAAGTGACTTATTTATATCACCAACACAAATTAATCCTTTCAAATCCTGCAAATCCATTGAGACTGCTAACAAAAGAAGGAATTTTGAGTGGGTTTTTTTGTGTGGTTAGGAGTTAATTAGTAATCTGATAACTACATTAGAGATGTAGCAGCAGCAGCCATGACAGTTAACGGCAGCGTTTTAAGCCGGGCTTGTATTTCATGAACTGAACTGGCAGTCTACTGGATTGCCAAAACCACATTACAAATGTAAATTGAAAACCAGTACATCTAAGTACATTCTGCAGAAGTCTGTGTAGTACATTATTAGCTCAGTGTGCATATACTTAAAATATGGGCAACACCAATTAACTTGCAAATATGGGCCCATCCTCCAATTCTAGAAAAGTCTGTTATCAGAAATGAAGTCCAAGGGCATTGGGCAGGTAACACAATTTTCCACTCAAGAAGTGTATAGAGAAGGAAACATTCTGAAGACAATAAGATACAGACTGAGAGAAGTATTATGTAGTTTTTTAAGTATAACTCTGATGTCAATCTTGAAAAATCACAGAACTTGCTGGAACTGTAAATTCCCTTCAAAACCGGGAACTTATTTAACAAATATTATCTTGGTGGAGCAAAGTACAACCCCACTATGCAACTAAAAAAGCAGTGTAAACCTGAAAATTCTGACAGACTAAATCACTAAAAGCACTTACTCATTTAATCCAATTCGGGTTTTCAGTAACTGATCAACAGTTGCTGGTGCATAGAGAGATCCAAAATAATACTCACTCAGGTAAATACAACCAAGAGCAGAGGAAGTTACAGACTAATATACAGGCAAACCCCCACAATACCCACTGTGCTATGGGTTGCAAGGCTTCCTTCCCCTCCTCCCTACAAGTGGTGTCCATGTAGAGGCTCAGAACAATACCTGTTGCTCAGATTCAAGAAAAGGATCCATCTGTTTGGATCAGTCTATTTTAGGGATCCATAAGCTAAGCAAAAGCGTTCCTTCCATCTTTTGGGATCTTACAGAAACACAAGGTACAGCAACAGACTACCCAACTCCTTTTCTCTTTACCAGATGCACCAATTTCTTTTTAGCACAGAAGAGATGAAAAAACAAACTGCCCCCTATTGATGCCGAGCAGAAAATCATTACTGGTGAGCTGAAGTGATGGGCAACAGATGTGGCAACACAGAAAAAAAAAGCCAGTGGCACGGAAAGGCTGGCCTGCGATGCAGGTACATACACATGTCAGAGGCTGCAGGAGTTATAAAAGCAGCAGAAATCGTGGGGATGATCAAGGAAGCAGATACAAGTTAAAATACAGACACAGAAGAGTAATACAGGAATTGGAGAACAAGAGCATTGAGGCAGTTCGATTTTCCTCATGAATATTTACACTGTCCATTGTAATGACTGAAACTGGAAGAAATGCCCTGATTATTGCCTTGATTATCTGGAATGTGCTGTTCGTTTTGTGCGGAGACTCATCCAAATTCAGCTGAGCCCTACACTTTGGAAAACAATGAGTTTCACAGGTGCCAACTAAAGACTGCTCAGACCTTAATTAACAAGTACTTCTCAAAGACTCCACCTACGCTGAGCACGTTTTAACACAAAACTCTTAAGGCTCACATGCAATGGTAAGGTAAGATCAACATCCCATAATCTTAAACAAAGCCATCCTGACCAAATTTAAATGGAGGAACCCTCAGCCTAATCCTGTGCACATCCCAGAGAATTGCAGGTGAGCAGGCAGCCACCAGCAGCAGCCCGCAGCTTAGACCTGTTCACTGCTCCAACTCCTGCCAACTCCCTCCTCCTGGACAGCACAGGACAGAAAAACGTGAGCCGCAGACAGTCCACTGAGCTGAAGCTGCACGTGATGTGAGATATTCTAGAGAAAATAACCCAAAATTTACAGACTAATTCTGGCACCCATTACCCGGCCTATTAATCACTTGGCTATTGCTGTGCCGCTCTCCTGAGAACAGCATCAAGCTACGCCAGCACGAAGACATAAGCCTGTGGGACTTTATAACTAAAAAACATTTTAGACTTAAGCAAAATTACTCGTCCTCAGATACGGTACTACAAATGAAATTTTAATTACAACGAGAATAGTTTACCTAAATTACAAAATCATTTTGACATACTCAAAACTTTGTAAAATATTTATTTTCAAATCTCATTTAAGCTGCATCTACTACCAAAAAAACATCGATTATTTGACTACATATGCCTGAGTTTCGTATCCACTGATTCAGACGAATCGCTTTTGACACATGTACAGCTTAACGCAGAAGTACAAAGAAAGAAGCCATTAAAACACGGCCACATCGCACTCTGCCATGCTAAAGCCGTATGGCAAATGCACAAAGCTAAAAATATACTACGCATAGGCTATTTTAAAAAGCTAGCAATTAAATCGAATTTTTCAGGTATGATCACCTTGAAGCTACAAGAGAAATTTCTGGTGCATAGTCCTCTAAGACTGCAGATTCAGAGCACCTGAAGCAGAATCTCGATAAAACTGTATCAGAAGAGAAATATGTTTTCTTTGAGTGACAGTAAGGCAGAAGTTCCTGTATCATTGGAAACAGGAGTAACATTCCCTACGAGTACTGGCATCACTCTGCATATGACGGCAAATGCAATTACCTGATAGTTCAAAACCAACCCCTAAGAGACTTCATACAGAACTAGACCTGCTCAACAGCAGGCCTATCCTAACAGAAAATTAAAACTTCCACGGAAGTCACGTCATTTTTTTTTCTCGACGAAAATAACCACGACTAAGACCTTATCAGAAAACAAAACAAAGAAAATTTTTGCGTTATTGCAGGTAGTTTTTTCTAGAGGTAGCTTCTCGTTATCCCATTCTAATGGAAGTTCTGGAGGAGAAAAGCTGACGGGACCGAAAAAAAGCAGTATTAAAAAAAAAAAAAAAGAAAAGAAAATTAAGATGCTCTTGCACTTTGGCAAGCTGAGAGAGATGCACAAAAATAGATGGATTCAGAAGCTGAGAGGGTGCCAGGGCCTCCTCCCGTGCGAAGGCGGCCGCACCGTGTTAACCAGCAGCGACCCGGGGCCGGCACGGCGGATTGTCCCTGCCGGGCCGTGCGCGGGGCCGCGGAGCTCCCGCGGCAACTGCTCCGGTGCCGCTGAGCGACCGACAAAAACCAGGAACATCACTTTTTTTTTTTTTTGAAAAATTAAAAATTAATTAAAAAAATATGAAAAAGAGAAAACCACAAAAATAGCCGAAGCCCCCAGACCGCCGCCCTCCGAGCGCGGGGCCCGTCGCGCCCCGGCCTGCGGCCCCCTCGCCCCCCGCCGCCCCCGCCCGTGACGCAGCGCCGAGCGGGCCCGGGGGGGCGGCCCTGGGGGACCCCCGCGGGCGGGGAGGGGCCGGCAGAACCCCGCGGAGCGGAGCGGCTTTATCGCCGCGGCTCCGCCGCTCGGCTCGGTGCCGCCCGCGCCCGCTGCCCCTTGCCCGCCTCCCCGAGCGCCGCCGGCGGGCGCGGCCCGGCCCGGCGCTGTGCGGCGGCCCCGTCCGGAGATGGCGGAGGGAGCATAAGGCACACTGGGTAAAAGCACATTTATATACGAACCTCGCCGAGAAATTTTCCAACAATTCCTCCGTCCGACCCCACCATGCACCAGGACAGGAAACGGCCGCCTCGGCGCCGCCCGCCCGCGCGGCACCGCCCCGCGCGCCGGGGGCGGGGCCAGGCCCGCCACCACCGCCGCTCCCATTGGCCGCGCCGCGCGCGCCTCCGCCGCCGCTGCCCGCCATTGGTCGCTCTGGGGCCGCGCGCCGGCGCCCATTGGCCGCGCGCCCGCGGCCCCGCCCCCGCGGCTTCATGGCGTCGCGGCTGTGCCGCGCGCGGGGCCGCCGCCATTTTGTGCCGCGGGCGGCGCGGCACCCGCACGCCGGGGAAGCGGCGCCATTTCCTGCCCTCCCCCGGCCGGGCCCGCGGAGCGCTTGAGGCGGCGGGACCGCCGGCGGCCACACGGGACCCGCCGGGCGCTGCTCCCCCTCGGCTGCGGCCGCCTGCGGGCCCCAGGGAGGCTCGGCGGGGCGTGGGCCGCAGGGCCGCACCGGTGGCAGCGAGCGCCTTGCCCTTGCCGGCCTCCCGCCGCGTTATCTGTGGCTGCCATGCCAGCCCGGTCCCTGGGG